TGCTCACATTGGATGGTAATTATTCATGTGCCTGTCTTTGTCAGCAGACAATTATTAGTACCTGAAGGGAGGAAATCATTATTTATTTTGGAATCTTCACTATCCTGCAGAGTTTCAGCAGGAGTTCCATCTACATTGTTGAAAGAAAGGAGGAATAAATGAATAGATGTTGATATAAGGGGTACACATGCGTATCATCACACATGTCTTCAGTTTTTGCTCAAATTTTCACTGGCCCATAGCTTGGTATCTCGTAGGCATTATTGAATTTCCTGCTTGTTTCTCATTTCTCTTTATAGATGTCATTACCACTCACATATATTCAACATTATTTCACTATTTAGAATATGGTTAGATCTGCACTCACATTTTGTGGTGGTCTCTGGAATAGGCTTTTTTTAAGCTGAAGAAAAATAATCTACATGTGGGTACCTGACAGTATTTGCTCAACCCTAGACAGAGATATGTTACTGAGAGTGAAATTGTCAATTACAAAAAGAAAAACCACATGGTATCGGCATTGCACACTACATTCAGCTGTTGTCTATTATAAGTTCTCTGGAGTGCTATTTGCTGCTGCAACTGAATGTTCCCATAAGTTTAATTCACCGATATGACCACAAAATTGTCTCAAGGCACAGAGGAAAAGAAGAAAACCAACTAGAAAGGGCTGAAATGCTGCTTATGTCTTCATTAGAACCCACCGTTTTTTCCCACTGGTTTCTTCACGATGCTAAAACTTCATGCTGGCCTTGGAGTGTGATACAATACAGCATAATACCAAGCTGACTCTCCCAAGGAAAGAAACACATTGCTGATGTCTCTGTAACAGCTTGCATTTGGCCTGTTGACTAATGCACTGCATTGTCGTGGGTATGTACGGCAATAGAAGCCAAGTGGCCCAGACAATAACAGTGTGCACTGGGTGTCAAAAATTTACAAGAGCGTGAGCTATTTTTTATTTCTTCTTACTGGGCCAGAAGCACTTACAATTGTTGTCCAATATGGAGCAAATGTACACAGTTCAAAAAGCACAAAGAGAGTGATACAGAATTATAGAACGGAAAATGGGCCACTGATTGGGTGCAAATTCATCAAGCCTCTTTATTCCTCAACAAGCTTTTATTGGATGCTGAAACAGCTTGCTTTGGAAGGAGTGCAAGTGACTGACCAAATGATACAATGGGAATGTTGATCTCTAGGGATTTCACTTCTGCTCAGCTAGCTAACTGTATATCTGCCTCACTCCAATAGGCGTACTCAAAAGATTTCAGTTAGAAAACCATTGCTTTTGCATAAATAATGCCTAATGTTTTATGGGGTGAATATTTATATTCCCTTAAAATTCTATGTTGAAATTTAAACTCTAACTGGAGGATGTTAGGAGGTGGAGTTTTTCAAAAGTAACTAGGTCATCAAGATAGAGTCCTTATGAGTGATCCTAATGCCTGTATAAGAGACCCTGAAGCTCCTTGGTACCATGTGAGGACACAGACCACTAGGAATTAGAAAGAAGGCTGTCACCAGACCCCAAAGCTGTCAGCATCTTGATCATGGACTCCCTAGTCTCTGGAACTATAAACAACAACTTCCTGTTGGTTTTAAGCCACCTAGTCTGTGATATTCCATCACATCAACTTGGATGTATTAAGAATTCAATGCTTAATGTCTTTAGAAACTTACATAATTCATCTGTGGTAGAAAATAGTAGGCCTGGAGTTTGAACCTTGAAAATGTCACCATAAAAGTTATTCTTGAATCATTGTGCCAAACTGTCTCTGATTAGGACAATGTATTATCTATAATAATGTTAGAATTGTTTCCCTACAATTCTTTATCTTTTCCTGATGAAAACCTTCATCAACTCACCTTTTCTTAAAACAGGGGTCTTCCACTGTTCTTTTTGGAACATCAGGGCAAATATCATCCCCTTTCAACTCACTGTTTCATGCTTTCCTCACAAATCCAAAAAGTGCATCCAGTCACCTGTCATGTGACAATGTTATAATAGAGATGATTTGAAACCTGACCTTTACCCCATGTGTTATAGTTTTATAACATGTAGCAGAAACATGACTACAGTGGCATAGTGATATACCAAGTTATCATATTTAAGCATCCAGTAAATGTGTGTGTAATTGCTTAAGAAACTTGTCAAGAATCCTGTCTCTTTCTCCCTTTATGGTCACCATGCTTAGCACACTTAGTAAGATTTCTATTCCTAAAGTGACTCCCTTATCAAAAAATATCGCATCTCTGAGCAAGACAGGAAAAAGAAATAAAGGAAAAGGACAAACATTAAAACCAAGTAGGTATTTGTAAGTCGAAGCCATCCCTTCTAATAAACTTTACAGAGAGATTCATCTTGTTTACCATTTACTCCTCTTCGGCCCCAGCTGTTTTGCATGGCCATGTCTATTTGTACAAGGTTCAGTGAGGCTGAGTATTTTAATCTGAACGAATCCCTTATCCAATTCAAAGATCTGATAGTTTGAAGGGGAGAAAGAGTGATGGACGGACAGATAGCAGTTTGTGCTCTGTATAATGGAAGCCAACATTTACATTTGCATTGGTCGTTGATGACTCTGAAATTGATTCCCCTACTGATAACAGGATACTAGTGAGATGCCTACTCCATTGTTGAGGACATCTGAACTTTAGGAATTATCTAAATCCCTAAACAAAATATATAAGGAGAGGGCTCTTACCTGTTTGACACCTGCCTACTTTTGTAAATTCCTGTTTTGCCATCTCAAACTTTGCTTCCATCACACATAACTTCTCTTCTTTGAGTGTACTGATTCTCTTTGAGCTGTACTTTTTGCATCTGTCTTTCTCTCTGCTTCTGTTGTCCATCTCACCTTCTCTATCTGGTAAGATGATACGTGCTGTGCAAGGCCCAGAATACCATCGCGGCTGTGGAAATATCCTTATCTTTCACTGTCAGGTCTATTTTGGGTGCTGTGTGTGCACCTCCCTTAGCTCACTGTCCTTATTTGCTTGTGTCTGTGTCATTTCTGACAAATGCTATGTCCTCTTAGAGAACAAGGACTATAATTTATTCAACGTTTTCTATCCAGTGCCTCCTGATATTCCTGGAATATGTTCAAGACACCTGCTTAAGCAAAACACAACTGAATATTATCTCTGGTGTACAGATGACCTACAAGGAGTTGAAACATGCTATTCTCACCATACCCAGAACAATGCATTTGCCTTAAATCTAGACATCAGTGCATTAATGGCTGGCAGCAGAAATGTGGGAAAAACAGAAATTTTCTTTTGATCCTGCTGATAATCAATTATTGGCAAAATCAAATTAAATTCAGAAATTTAATGTTTATTAGCTTTGTCTACTTTTCTCTCTCTCTTTGCTCCCTTATCCAGAGTTACTCTGTTTTTCTTTGTACACAATTTGGTAGACAGTTTGTGTCCTCACAAATTTATTTCTTTCAGAGCTAAAAAAAAGACAAATTTAACTAAGAAAATTGAATTATTTGGAAAAATGATTACTTAACTGACTTTTCTGTTTTTTTAGTGAATGCAATATTTTTTCTTGACACATATTTGCTCATTAGGGAGGAGCAATGAAAAACTAAATGAAGATACAGAAGAAAAAGAGTCAGTTGCAAACAAAAAATTGGACAACGGTTACAGTAGATACAGTGCATTCCTGTTATGATGCTGCCCTTCTCTCTGCTTCTTTCCCGAGTGTGTGAGAGACAGACATCATTACTCAGTCAAAATGCTCTTTCTACCTGAGCCCAGACATGTTCTCACAGTGCATCTCTGTGCTATGGTGCTCCAGGTGCGTTATACCAACCAAGGCAGGAAGATGAGTGCATCCTTCGGTTATCATCGTTCTCATTGTTACTCCCTATGTTCTATTCAGGTCAGTACTTTCCCTGTGATGGCTCCCTTCACCAAGTGAAGGAAGTATTGTGATCCTAGGTAGAGTCTTCAGGTATTGTATTTCACTCATCTGTCAAGTATCTGGTGAGCAGTGGATTCTGTGTCTTATCATCATAAAGCCCTTAACACATCACCTCTATACTTGCCTAGAGAATGAGAGGGACCATCTTTCCCACAGACTATAACTTAAGATGAGAGAGCTAAGATATACTTAATGGCAAAAAAAAGAATGAACACTTTATAGCTACAGCCTTGTGTTTTTCTTTTTCTTTCTTTTTTTCCATAATTTTATTGAGAAACAAATAGCAATGGGACAGTTTCAAAGCAAATTGGTAGGACAGTTTCAATAATTAACACATTTCATATACTCTTCCTAGTGACTAATTGCTGTACAAGATGTGGACATGATATCCTATTTACAAACACTATTAGAACAATCTCTCTATTCATTAAGAGAATGCAACTATATATCTATCCTAACCACTTTGAATACACAGATACAAAATGGACATTCATCTTGTTCCCTTTTTTTTTGTTAAGTTCTGTTATTTGAATATTATAGGTGTGTTAACTCAGCAAAATATTCTAAAAGAGTACAGTAGTCCATAATAGTATTGGGTCTTCTGCTTCACTGGCAATGTCAGAAATTGTTGACCTGAGTGCCCTACAGTAGCCTTGTGTTTTTCTACCAATCACTGGAGGTTATCGTTATTGTCCCCATTTTACAGAAGTAGAAATAGCCTCAAGGAAATTAAGTCATTTGCCTAAAATCTCCCATCTAATAATGGAGGAAGGTAATGCTCAATCTCAGATCTGTGACATCCAACATTGTACTCATGGATTCTAGAAAGCTAATTGTTTTAAAATCTGCTCCTTGCCTTTCTTTTCATGACACTTATTACTTAAACTTTTGATAGATGCCTTAAGGTTTAATTTAATACTCTCTTGAGTCTTGCAGATTTTGAAGGCAAATGGAAAATAGATAAATGTGGATCAGATATGTATTAGAAACGATCAACCTATTTAGAACTTCATGCCCTTCAGGTACAATTCTGGATGGAAATGTCTGCTTTGTCTCCTTTCTGCAGGACACCGTCCATATCAGGTGATCACTGCCCGAGCTCACCCTGGAGAGAGCAATGCCAGTTGGGTGATGAAGGGTACCTTGGAGTTCCTCATCAGCAATGACCCTGTGGCAAGGCTCTTGAGGGAGAACTTCATTTTCAAGATCATCCCTATGCTAAATCCAGATGGAGTCATCAATGGCAAGTATGTCATATAGTGGTCTAGACAAGACCAGCATTTACATTACTGTAGTAATGTATTGTTCTTTCAGTCACAATGTGTGAATGGAGAGGCTTTGGTATCTGCAAGACTATTTTTTTCTTTGATATTTGGTACAAATATTTTTGTATATTTAGTAGAAGTGGAAATGTATTCTCCATACATATTTGTGTCAGTTTAATGGTTTGTTTAAATAGAAAGAAACGTCTGTCCTGGCAATGAGTGCCAGAAGAGATGATCTAGTTCAACACTTTTTTTCCAGAAGAGGAGAACTGGTGTCCAGGGTAATCAAATGACTGCCCAAATCACATGGTGAGTTAGTGGCAAATTTAGGACCTAATCTGTCATTTTTTTCCCCTCAAAATATTTTCATGTTTACCTTTTAATGTGTATTGCAGAGAAATCCTTATTTTTAATTGTATTTTACTGCATTCTGGAAATGCCTGAAATGAGGGTGCCACTCTAACTAAATAGAACACTGGTTAAAGAAAAGAGTGGAGCCTTTCTTCTCCTTATTCAGCCTCTGCATGTCTTGGGAATGTGTGATGGGAGAGACAATTGCTTTGTAACATGATGTCTGTTGGAAAAGGTCTGCATTCTTAGAGCTTGGTTTGTAAGGCTCAAAGGAGGGCCACAAGGTGAGATGGCAGCGAGTGGGGGTGGCTAGGTTAATGTTCATCAATACTGTCTCAGACCTGCAGCTGGAGTAATGCCTTTTTTTGTGGCAATAGATGGTTCTTTATACTGTGAAAGTGGATGTTGTAGCTCATGGAAAAGCACAATGTAGGAGGCACAAAATATGTTGAGTTAAAAAGCTAATTTCAAAAGTGACAAATTACAAACTCTATAATTTAAAACATCAATAGTAAATAAACACAAACACAAGTTTAAAAGGGTGAGAAAAGAGAACACCACTAAAATAATGAAATGGAAGAGATGAAAGGAGAATTATTAAGAAATACTAGAAAGAAACTCAAAACTTCAAAGAGATAAGAGGACATAAGTGGGAATGATTTAAGAAAGATGAAATAGTTGATTTCTTGACTTGATAAAATTCAAGTGTTTAACAACTCTGAATAGATTAGTTTTGAAGGATAAGCACAAAGTAAAATTAGATCAGTTAAATGAGGTTAAAAACATAAAGATGATAAAATGTAAAAAGAGGAACACCATACTTTCTATATAGTGTAATTCGATAAATCATGCCAAATACAAAGCTGCAGACTATAAAAATAAAATTATATGATGCAAAAAAAAAAAAGAAGAGCAAAAGATAGGTAAGGAAAAAAAAAAAAAAAAAGAAGAGCAAAAGATAGGTAAGGCACTTCTTATCTTAAAAAAATATTTATTTATTTGTTACAGGATCTTGTTAGGCGGTTCAGACTCATAGTGATCTTCTTGTCTCAGTCTCCCCAGTTCTGGGATGCACCACCATGCCCAGTTTCATGCTTGGTTTTCCTGGAGCTGGTACAGCATGTGGTCCTTCAAATCAAACTCCGGCCCTTGCACTTGTCAAGCCAGCACTTAGACCACTGAGCTATCTCCCCAGCCCACTCCTCTTATCTTAACAGGTTAGGCTCTTCAGGCTCTTTCACCTTAACAGTTCTCACACATTTTAATGTAGCCCATATATATTATAATTCTTTATGGAATTTGAAGGCATGGCCATGAGGAAGAGGGCATGGTCCCTTGTGATATGGGGAGAAGCCAGATCTGGATCGCTGAGGAGCATCAAACAGGCCTCCAGTATTAGACAGGCTTCTGTGATCTCAGGCTGCACAAGACCCCACAGCAATGTCCTCTCTGATGGCACAGAACTCTTCTGATTCCTCCTGTGTGCTCCTTTAACTTGGGAGAACTGATCTAGGACATCAACGAGTGGCCTCTCCCTCCCTGAGCAGCCAAAGATTTTACTAGCGAGCTTTCTTCATCTAGATGGATGGAAAACAGCCAAGCCAAGCATCTCAAGGGATACAGTCCTATTCTGACATTTTCGCATCCAAGTTGGCTCTTGACTGAGGGCCATCCTTCCACTGAATTGTCGGGAGGATAACAGGGAGTGGAAAGAGCACTGCACTTGGGGTTGTAGCTGTGATTGGGAAATCTGACTCTTCCCCTGACCTTCTCAGTTTTCTCCTCTGTTGGAAGAGGAAGACAATGTGCTGCCTGTTGACCTTTCTGGGAAAAGATCTCCTAAGCCCAAGGCAACATTAAAGCTCAGGGATTAAGTACTAAAGTTTCTTCCATTTTAAATGCTCGCACTTCCAGGTCAGGGGCTGGCTCCAGGTCTTCGGTTTAAAGGTTAATGTGATCTCAGTCACCGAGGAGCCTCTTGGCTGGGATGCGCATTGTTTCCAGCTCACAGCTGGTTGCCTTGTGCTCCCAAATGGCAGGCCAGCTTCTCCTCAGTGACACTGGCATTCATCATCATTACTATTATTTATTATGACTCAAATTACCCTTTTCATTTATATAGCGTCTTTCATCATGAAGCTCAAAGCACTTTGTAGATCGCTTGGATAGTCAAAATAGTTTTGGCTGAAAGGGGCCTGGAAATCGCAACCTTATTCCACTGCTAGGAACAGTTGCAGATGATAGACCATTATGGCAAAGAGCCTGGAGAGGGCCATGGATCTGTTACCTTTCACAAGAAGCATGTTTAAAGTCTGAACTCCTGAACCTTTCTTGGAAGATAGTCAGCATGTTTTAATCTAACTTCCACTGAGGTATTTTTGTGATAGGCATTCCATTTTAGGGACACCCATTCTAGGTGGATTTGCATGTTAATATGCTTTAATCATTGCCCTTTGAGCCTCATCTGTTTTAGTCAGTCTTCTCATAGGGTGCTCCAAGGGTAAAACAATATTGCTCTCCTAAAGACCTAAACTTTCTCCTGTGACATCTTCACCCAGTTTGATGAGCCTCACCTACATGTTATTTATGGGATATTGTTTCTGATATTCTTGATCTCTGTGATTTTTCTCTAGACATAATATTATTAACAGCTTTCTTGAAAGTGACAGAACTACCCTGTATATTGTCTGATCAGCAAGGAGACATTCGTGTGTAACGTTTAGAAAACCTAAAGCTGAACTTGGCACTTCGACGACTATGCTGTATTTTTCTATCACAAGTAGTCATAGGCCTCGGTGGAGTTTGCAGGAACATGTAAAAGTAGAGTTGTTTCCTTTTGTGTTGGTGACGGAGCCTCTGAGGATAGCTGGGAGATTTTGATAAAAGTGGTCAGGGAGACAAAGCCAGGATTTCCTAGCAAAAATATAGTGGATCTGGCCAAACCCTAGATCTCTTAGCAACATACAACTGAACAGGAAAACAACATACAAAGATGGATGGTTGTGTTAAATTCCAAAAGAAACAGTTTGTATCTTGCTGACCTGTAGTTTGTATGCAACTGGGCTGATTTCTTAGTGAGTCAGAACCAGGGCAGTGTCTCATTGACTGTTAGAATTCTTCCCAAGGTGGGGTGAGAAACAATGAGGAGTTAACAAATTGGTTAGAAAACACATGATCCTGGTGGGTGGACCAAGGTGTGTGTGGAGCGGAAGGCTGGTGATGTCTGCACAGCTCCAAGTGTAGACATCAAGTATAAGAGAGAAGGAGAGGAGCAAGCCAAACAGAATTCCCATTTTAAATTCTTTGATTATTGAGCTGTAGTGCCAATGATCTTTGTAGAGTTAACACACAGACTAACATTTTATTCACAGGAGAATCAGAACATACAGATTCTTAGAGTACATGCAACTCTGTAAGCTTCAGTATCATCTTCTAAGGTCAGCATGAACAGATAAAAACAGCAAAAAAACAGAGGCCTTATTATAAATAAACATGTCAAGGTATTAAGAAGCAATAGCTGGATGCACTAGAGGGTAAGAAGTAATAGCTGGATGCACTAGAGGGAACAAATCAAACTATAAAAATCAGATAAGAAAATAAGACAAGAAAAGCTTAACAATCTGGGACCATTTAAAGTTAGTGCCAACAGTCTTTTACTCCACTGTGGGTTGTGAAGTCTTTATATTACTATAAGAAGAAAGCCTACAGGCTCTATCTTAAAAAATATATTCAGCAGGTTTTATGGACTGAGGAATAACCTAGTTAGTTTGCATATATTGTCTTATTTAATTGTCACTATAACCAACTAATGTAGCTTTTGTACTGTGAAATTTATAGATCAGAATGAAGCATCTCCCTTGAGATGCCTTGCTTAGCTTTTACATCCATTTAGATGAAGAAAGCTCACTAGTAAAATCTTTGGCTGCTCAGGGAGGGAGAGGCCACTCGCTGATGTCCTAGATCAGTTCTCCCAAGTTAAAGGAGGACACAGGAGGAATCAGAAGAGTTCTGTGCCATCAGAGAGGACATTGCTGTGGGGTCTTGTGCAGCCTGAGATCACAGAAACCTGATTAGTACCGGAGGCCTGTTAAATAGCTGTTATTCTAGATCTGTAATTAGAACTTGTCTCTCTCCTGTATTTCTTTGCTGCAGCGATTTAAGGAAATTTGAACCAAATAGTCTTCAAATATTCTAGTGGAGGGAAGGGTCTTATACTTATTTAGTTCTAGTCCTTTAAAGGATAAGGAAATAGAGAACAAAAAGATAAAATAAATTATTCAAGATAGCATCACTAGTTCAAGGGAGAATTGGCATGAGAAATTGTCCCGATTATGAAAAGCACATGCAGATATGAGTATGCACACACATGCGGCTATGCCCGGGTCAGCACTGGTTTGTGCCTGAGCTGACAGTTGTACCCAGCCGAATTTCAGAACTGTTGTTCACCAGCCTTTTCCCACCAGACATAAAGATACAAATATCATTTGGCCCCATCAGCAGATAGACTTTGAAATCAGCCTTTTTGACCCCCTAATTTATATTGGAGGAGTTCAGGATGAGCCAGGGCACAGACATCCCCAGTTTTCTGCAATATTGGACAAGGATACATGCATTAGTTTGTCCTGGGTTCC